TTCCTGCTCAGGCAAGTAACATTTGTGGTCCGTCACAAGACAGCTGTGGGAACTGATGAAAGTAGAGCCCTCCTTCTGCCAGCAAACCCACCACAGGTTTTGAGAGAGAAAATACACTTTCCTTGGTGTTTTTAGCAGTTTTCATCAGTTCTCTCATCCAGGCTCGATGGCATCTGAAGTCAGACCATGCCTTTGCTGGTGGCCCCAACCCACCTGCCCCGCGTACTCCACGTAGTCCTGCTCTCCTGGCTGTGTTGCGGAGCCGGCGGTGGCCGTTCCCTGCTCCGTGCGGCACAGCACGATGGAGTACTGGTTGAGGTTCCCGACCCTCCTCACCGTGACGCTCACAGAGCCCACACTCTCTCTGACCTTGTAGCTGCAGACACATAAGGCAGATATAAATAGGAAGCTGGGGAGAAAACCCCGTGTGTTTGTGTGATCCTGAGTGCCATGGACTCAGGGTGAGTGTGGCCTCCATGGGACACTGACACTCAGGGGCAGACAGCTCCATGGTTTGGCTAGGCAGGCCCCTCTCCTCACTGAGTCTCATTCCCACGCTGTAGGCCCAGAGCTCAGGTGAGAGCACACCTCTCAGCAGAGTGCTGTGACCCCTGTGCCACCCACCTGGTCTGTGTAAAGCTGAGGAGAGACCACTGGATGTGGAAGATGTTGCCACTGACCACGTTGGGTTTGCTGTCCTTCACTAGGAACTGAAAGCTGTCCATGGTCTCCTGAATTTTCTCCTCATGCATCACATACCGAATGAGGCCCTGGTTCACATCCTCTGCAGGGAGGAAACACCCGCTGAGCCCACACAGAAGGCCAACAGCAGTTTAACAGATGAGCAGTGCAGAGACATGGGTCATGGGGATCAAGTTCTCCACAGTGGTATAGGATGCAGCTGCTCCCTCACCTCCCCTTCCTGATGGAGGACCCCTCAGCCATGCAAGAGTGATCCTTCCACACATTGTTGACTACACATCTACCAGGCCTTGTGAGACAACATCTACAACTCCTCTCCACTGTCGCAAGTGAAATCTCCAGCGCTAACAAGCCTGGAGAACCTGAGTGTGCTACAGGACATGGGCTGACATCTCTAAGAAATCTCTGGAGTTGAGAGCAAAGTTCACTGCTTAGTTTCAACACACTCTGGAGATTTGCCTCTTGTCTTCCCCCCAGCCACCCTTTGTTCCCTCACCCTAACAAACTAAAGCAGCTGAAGGAAAGAAGCAGCAGCACACAGCCCAACTCCATACCCTGCGTAAAGGTGGTCACAGCTGTCCCTGGGTTCATCTTGTTCTCCACATGGCCATTTCTGGGCCCAGTTGTTATCTCATAGATCAGCTGTCTGTCATCTGTGTCAGGATCTGTTGTCAGTAATTCCTTCTTAGTGATGAGATTGGTTGCCTGGATTAAAGCCAAACCAAGGGAGTAAAACTCTGGAGCTCCAGTACTGCCAGTCTGATTGACTGTTCCCACAAAAAGCCCAACCATCCCTCTGTCAAACAGTTCCCATGAGGGAAAATCTAAAGGTGCAAAAGCACAGAGCTGCCTTGGACAGACAGACACCTCACAGTCTTTGGCAGTGCAGAACGGATTCAAATTTTGCCTCACATCTGGTTTGCTTAACTTGAAAACCCATTGTGGCTCAAAGGAAAGCAAAGTCAGAAGTAGCTGCCCCTGTCTAGATGGGGCTAAAAGCTAGGACAAATCCTTTGGTTTGACCTGGAACCAAAGTGTTTCTTTGCAGTTAGCTCTGGGTCCTCATAACATGCTCCAGTTCCCTGGGGTTTTGTTTGGACTTCAGCAAAACAAAGGCAAGTCATAGCAAGAAATCCCTACACCACATTTCCTGGAAAGCTGCTGTGGCACATCATCAAGCCTTCACCATCAGCAATACACAAACATACTCCGGGGTGGAGGGATATTCTCCACCTCCTGACTGACCAGGATGTTTTCCAGGGAAGCTCCTTCTCCTGGAGCAGCCTGAGAAACAAGCCAAGCTGGGGCAGTTACCTTGCCATCCGTGTTCTCCAGCCACTGCAAGCCCAGGTTGGTGACAACCCTGGGTGTCCCATCATCCACAGGCAGAATGTTCACTTGGAAACGCTGTGGTGCTGCTGTCATGACCTGACACAAGTCCAGAGAGTGATGGGTGTTAGTCTGGGACTCAGAGCCTCAGCCACCATGTCAGAGCTTGGCCCCCTTCAGCTCTGCTGGGGTCAAGGTCCTGGGGTGAGTTTGCACACACAAAGGCAGCAGACCCAGCAGTGATTCTCCCTCTCTGCTCTTGTGAGGCCCCACCTGGAGTGCTGCACACAGTTCTGGTGTCCCCAACATCAGAAGGACATGGAACTGTTGGAGCAAGGCCAGAGGAGGCCACAAAGCTGATCAGAGCACTGGAGCACCTTCCCTATGAGCAAAGGCTGAGAGAATTGGGGCTGTTCAGCCTGGAGAAGAGAAGGTTGTGTGGAGACCTCAGAGCAACTTTTCAATATCTGAAGGGGCTCCAGGGAAGCTGCAGAGGGACTCTTGGTTAAGAACTGCAGGGACAGGACACGGAGTAATGGAGATAAATTGAAAGAGGGAAATTTAGGTCAGATATTAGGCAGAAGTTTTCCCTGTTCTGGTGGTGAGACCCTGTCCCAGGGTGCCCAGGGAGGCTGTGGCTGCCCCAACCCTGGCAGGGTTCACAGCCAGGTTGGATGAGCCTTGAGCAACCTGCTCTGGTGGGAGGTGTCCCTGCCCAGGGCAGGGGTTGGGGCTGGATGATCTCTGAGCTCCATTCCAGCCCCTTAACATCCTATGAAACTATCAAATGTTCATCCCTTGTCATCAGCAGAATGACAGCAGCTCAGCCTCTCCTGCTCTGCGAGGAGAGCTACAGGTGTCCCCACACCCCTTCTCCTCCCCTTACCCTCTTCCCACCCTCCTCCACGAGGAAGAAGGGGCTGTTCCCGTCGGACAGGGTGAAGGTGAAGCGGTCCCGGAGCGAGTTGCTGCCGTCGTGGCTGTAGCTGATGCGGTTCTGGTAGATGTCCTCCATGGTGAAGGTGGTGGCTTGGTGGTGGCGCTGCCCGTTGCTGGTGCGTTCGATCAGGCCGTGCCGGGGCGGCTGCACCACTGTGAACGTGATTGACTCCACCTGCACCAAGGACACACAGAGCAAAGCTGCTGGCATGACCTCAGGGCAAGGGCAGGGATGACCTTCCAGCTCAGGATGCCTGACAGGGACACTCTGCCCACACAGCTTCCCTGGCAGTGTTTTCAACTCTCTGCCCACACAGCTTCCCTGGCAGTGTTTTCAACCTGGGCTAACACAGCACTGCACACTGACTGATCCCCCCTGAGCCCTGCCCTGTCTTTATCCCTCTCTCAGCGTGACTCTCTACAAAACAACCCCAATCAGGGAGAGCTGGGCTAGGCACATCACACCAATCTACTGGTTTGGCTGGTCTGAGACAGCTCCCAGCCCTGTGACAGCTCCATGAACACAAGAGCAGTGCCCCATCCTGCAGCCATTCCAGCCAACGTGTCCCTTGCCACTTTCTGCCAGGGTGGAAGCAGGGAAAACCTCTGGGGCAGGACTTTGGCTCAGGGCAGTAACAGGCAGCCAGGAGATCTCTAGCTGCAGGGAAGCTGCAGTGAGGTAGAGCCAACATAAGACTGCTCAGTCTCCAGCCAGACCCAGAAGGAGCAATAGGAAATGTCATTTTCATCCATGTCAAGGCCAGGCTTATGTTCAAATCCACAGTGTTCAGAGAGAAGATGGGACAGGGCAAAGAAGAGCTCTGATCACAACTTCTACAAGCTTTCCATAGAGCTTTGCTGCTGATGTGTCCAAGACATACCCTAGATGAGGACATTTCTCCAGCCAGGGCTTTGCTTTGCTCAGACACTCCTTCAGCTATGTATGCACAAATGAGGTCTCCCACCAGCTGTGTCTGATGTGATCAATGGTCACAGGAGAGATAACACCTGCTATCCCCTCTGCCTTTAAACACAAGCCCATTTTCCTGACAGCCCAGATGTGCAAAAGAGGAGGAGCAGGGGAGAAGGGAGGCAAGGGGAAGTTCTGCCTTACCTCTGTGTCAGCATCTGTTGCTTTAAGCTCAAACTCGGTGATGGTTTTCCTCACCCCTTCCTGAACTGTCATCCCAAGGCTTTGCACTATGGGTAAGGAGTCATCCACGGGGTTTATGGTGATGTCAAAGGTCTGGCTCACCTGGAACAGGAGGAAAAGCCTCTCTTGATGAGTTCAGCCTCCCAAGAGTGCAACTCCATTGGAAGAGAAATACTGTAAGAGACCATGGTGCCCCAAGTTTGGGTCGCTTCATTTTGGCCTTGTCTAGTGAGCAAATCTGAGCTTCTATGCCCAGATCAAGTGAACATGACATTTTCTATCTCTCCCCACTAATTACTTCTGCCTCTCTCTGTGGTGTTATGGACATCCACTCTCCCTCCCTCCTTGTACTTTGTCCCTCTCCCTGTATCTGCAGCTATGATTTTCCTCCTTCTCCAAGCAGGAAGAAGACATTTCTCAAGGGTCTGACTGTTGTCACTACATCACCAGTGCCACTGGCTCAAAGCTGAGCTCCAGGACCAACTGGAAAGCAGCTGAAAACCAGACACTCAGAGCATGTTTAACCAGTCTCAGGATGCCACATGGCAGCTGGCTCCCTGTTCCCTGCACAGGGCTCTCTCCCATCCCTGTGGGATGCAGGAGTTCTCACTGCAGGAGAACAGTCACCTCTGCTCACGACAAGGTCTGACTCAGGCAAAAACCACTTTGGTTCTTACCTCATTTGTCCCATCAGACACAGAAAAGGTGAAGGCATCTGTGTGCTTTTCCATGTCACTGGTGTGGACATACTGGATGCTGCGAGAGGCCAAGTCTGCCTGGCTGAAGGAATTAATTCTCATCCCTAAAAAAAACAGTAATAGGGAAAAATGTGCAACAGAAAGAACAAGGTAGGGATAAAATAAAGGCAGCTGGACATATCTAGCCAAAAGCACTCAATCTTGGCTTGCTCTGCTCCAATTCAGGCTGTGCCATGAACCTCAGCTGAGCCAGGGATTTAGCTGGCATGGAGCCTCCTAACAACTCCTTCTGCAAAAAGGAGTCCAGCCTTCTTCCCAGACCCACAGCCTTACTATGGCACCTCACACCGTTAGGACAACCTACTGGGGATGGGCCCCTGGGCCAGAAGTTGGGAGAAAAATGGTTGATATGACACTTGAATTGTCACTGCTGGGCAGGACTGACCCAACCACAGCATCACTGAGTATGAGCTAAATCTCTTGGCCTCAGTCTCCAGAATGTCTTCCAAGTCTCTGTCCTCTTTGTCCCTCCTTGTACCTCTGCACTTAGAACGTTCAAAGTCCCCTTTGCAACACTGATTTATAGTGACATCTCCACAGGTCATGAGCTGTGGCACAGCCACAGAAGGTACCCAACAAGCATTTCAAAAAGCACTTGAGCTTGTTAAGTCTCACTGCTACATTCAACAGTGTTACAGCTGTTACCAACAGTAAAACTCTGACAAAAAAGTTTGCCACCAACAGGTCATGCTAAATGACTACTGACAAGTATTGGCCACACTATGAAAGGTATCAGAAGCTGGTATAAATATAAATGAGCCAACACAGAACGACTGGCCAAGATTTCCTCAGAGCTCATTAGCTTTAAAGGTTTGGGTTCTCTTTTGAACTTAGGCTTAGGTCATTTAAATCATGAGAACAGGACTGTATATTTCTTAGTCCATCAGAGACAGGAATAAGCTCAGAAATCAGAATCACCACATTTTAAACAACAAGAGGAACAAACCCCTTAACCCAAGTCTCCAAAGCACAAGATTCACTGTTTAGTTTGCAATTCAGGCAAAAATATTGCAGGTTTTTAATTTACTCTCAGCAGGGGGTTTGCTTATTACAACTTTCATTCATTATTCCTGCCCTTTCCTTGTGTTCTTGCGGAGATGACACTGAAAGAGCTGTGCAGGGACTGCCTGCATCCTGAAAACACACAGCAGATATTTCCACTCTAATCTCGTGTTAATGAGAAACCTAATGCTAAGGATAAATCTAATCTTAGATGAGTACAATGGAAACCAGAAGAGCATATGAAATGACAGCACAGACGTAGATCAGTTCTTCAGAGAGGGGCAGCACACACACACTGTCAGCAGGCGTGGAAGGCAACTCTAAATTCAGATCACACTTGCAGGTAATTATTTGCTGAGTTCCACAGGATTGACCAACCTCCCTCCCTGAGCAACCAGAACTCATTATCCAGCACATCCAGCACACCCCAACAGAGTTTTCTTTGAAACTAACTC